TACCAACCAAGTCCTGTGCCTCCTATCGGTATTGTTCAATCAAAGAAGTCAAAAAAAAATACTCACAGGTTCGAGGGGCATGTTTAGAATGTGGGCAAAGAGGGGTGCACTCCGGCCGCAGCCTATATAAGTGTAGGCGTCCGGTAAGCATCTCGCTATTTAAAACAAACTGTCAAATGTAACAGGTTGCTGGCAGAACATACTGATATGTCACATGGGCTGCTTTGGTCCTTTTCCCGTTATGAAAGATGTGTCACGGGGCAGGCCCCCGAGATCGCCGAAGAGGTTGAACAGGACGAGAAACAGAGAGAATCTCGAAGGGCAGGTAGCCCCGAAACTGGTGTTGATTCGACGAAGCGTACGACGACGAACCAAGAACTATATACTGGTACATGGTGAGGTAATTCGGAGACGTCGGTAAGTACAATATCGTAAATGTGTGGGAAAAAGCGGTGATACAGATTATTATATTGTAATGGGCATGTCCATGCCCATTACAAGATGTGGTTGCTAAACAGCTTTTTGTTGTGGACCTCATCATTACACCATGCTGCTTTTCCCTCACAGTAAGTTAAATTCCATGGAAAGTACTGCTTGGCAATTGTGTTTACATATCATGTTGAGAAAATTAAAATGAGACACTCAGTAATCCACAACACGCCCCTTTGGTGAGGCAACCTAAAAATACATTTCGGCTTGATTTCGGCAGTGATATTTAATCCCCATTCATCTTATCCCCTTTGTCTTGACTCTGCCCTCCTCCTGTCCGACCCGTCAACTGACCTGCAATTCGAAGAAACCCCTGCTTCAAATTGAAATTACTCTGCCGATTTCTGTGTGTTGTGATCAATCACTGCGTTCCGGGGGGTCGTCTGCACATACAGTGTACGACCCCCGTCCGCACATTTCTGCAGATTCGTGCATCCGCACACTATGTCGATCTCCTCCAGAATTTTCTCGGCATCCTGTGGGCACCCATTCGACCTCTAAACACCTTGCTGACCGACGAGGATCTGGTCCTGGTTTGACAGGTGATGTTGGCATGGCACTCACACGTCAAAACACACAGCACTTTGATAAATCCGGAAGTAACTCCGAAATGCCCACAACTGAAGCAACTTTGAACAAAAAAAAATGATATGGGGTCATGAAAGAGCCAATGTATGCTTAATGGATGTCTGTAGCATTTTCCAAGGGATTTTGTGTGAAGTGACAGATTTCGCCGACTCCAAGAACCTGAAACATGGCCAAATATAGAACCCCCATCACCACCGGCTTTCAAAACTTCGGTTATGTATGTCATAGACATGTCTTGGACATGTCCAGGGAGGCGGTAGCGGCAGAGAAGGAGGCCGAGGGCGCAGTCCCGCCTGAGCGTTCCCACTGTGCGGACCAGGGTCGACAACCCGCTGCAGACGCACGTTCTACACCTAGTCTACGAATGTCTGACCAATTCGGCCGATCTAATGTCGGCACACTGTGTATCCCACGATCCACACTGATCCGCACCTGATCCGCATATGTCCGCATCGCTATGCAGACGTGGCCCCGGAACGCAGTGAATGTATCTGGATGCTGGCTGCTTTCGATGCTGCGCACCAGAGCGCCTAGTCTGTATTGGATATACGTAATGCTGGGTCAGAGGAGATATTATAGATATCAGACAGGAAGGAAGGGAAGTGGGACGCACAGTAAAATGGACGCGGGCTAGATCCAACCGTGGTTTATGACATCTTGCCTCGGCCTGTGCCAAGATAGCGCAGATGGTGGCGCACTTCTGACGCAGATGTTGACCGAAGCTCCCCATAGAGGCTTGAATTGATTTCTATGAATCCGAATTTGTGCGCGCCACAACAGCAGCGGGAGTCAGTGCAGTACGCGGGTACGCGAGGAATTGAGATACCGGTAAACGGGAGGTCGCATAATGAATGGGAAGCCACTGGATCTTCACCGCGCTTGCTCAAGAGGTGCCGTCTTGCGGCCACAGGAGTTTGATATACGGGATGGTCTTGGAGGAATGCGGAAAGCATGGGGGGGGGGAAGACGAGCGCTGGTTGAATCCGAATGCGTCCAATTCCAGAGCGAATCAAAGCCAAAGAAAAATGCCACGCGTGCATCCAAACGTCGCCAACAGCAACAGAATGCCAACACCAAATTGACCGCGGTCGGAGACGTTCACGGTGGCGGGATTATGGAAAAGCATAAAACTAATGATGCCGGAGGGTCGACGGATTCGGATGCTTATATGCGCTGAGTAGGAACCGGGGGCAGGGAGGGCTCGAAAATCGGGAGGAGTTTTTGAGCATGAACATTGAAATATTGCGCACTCACGCCAGCAGATCCGACGGCTTGGCTGAAGGTTGAAGTGGAGGGGCCCGGTATCCGAGCCAGGGAGAAACAAATGGAATTTGGAGCGCAGTCAGTTAACATTAGGTGACTGTAAATTATTTGACTTGTGGAATCGCATGCGGGGAGTTCAACGCGAACAAGTCTGGGATCGAATCGACTCGAAGTTGAATTGAGTTTTCAACGTGTCACACAGAGGTCGATTTGACCGCACGTTTGATTGGATTGAGACCGAGAACGCGTGGGGAAGCGCTCAGCACAGGTAGCTGCACGCTAGGTTGATCATGAGAAAATTTGACTAGAGGAAATGCGAATGAGCGAGATTTGATTCTGAGAATCAGAAGCAAGATTGGGGTTTTGAAAAGCGTTGGCTGCGGGAAAGTCGGAGGAAGCGAGACTTGAAATGATTTGAGATTAAATTACCCACCTCCAAGAGAAAAACACGCGAGCAATCGGGGCCGAGATTTTGATTCGGCTGCGTATTTTCAAGTCCTGCAGTGTCTGGTAAGCAAGGTGAGTCGTCTGCGCAGACGGTGTGTATATATCTTGTGCAGGGAGTGTACGCCTCTAGGCATCAGACAAATACAGAAATAATAGCACGCACTGCACCGGTACCCGACTACCAGAGCTGTTCTGAAGATGAATTTTGAATCCTGGAAGCTACGATTGGGGGGGAGGCCAGGGGGTAATCGAGGGTGGATGGAAGGATACACAAGCGCTGAGTGGAGACAACGCGGAACAGAATTGGGAAGGAGATAAAACACGGCGGAGGAAAGAATAAAATAAAATGAAAGAGCATGGACACATACCTGCTTGCTAACCCCAAACGCCTTCCTCAACAGCGGCTCGGGATGCTCGCCCAGCGGATCCTGCACGCTCACGCCCGTCCCCCACGGCTGCACCCCGAACGCGCCTAGCCCCACCGCCGCCCCCCACGCCGAGTCGTTGAACCCAACATCCTACCACCCCGCCGGCGAACTCGCGCTCACATTCACGCTCGCAGGCGAGACGCGCCACGCCATATCCGTCGTGAAACTCTCGCTCGAGCCGTCCGCATACAGAATATTGATAGACGCAAGGACCCCCGCCGGACTCGGCTCGCCCGAGTTCACGTCCGCCAAATTCGTCGCGAGCACAGCAAACAGCGTGCTGCCGCTCGAATTCAGCGGCACGGTGAACATCTGCGCCGTCTCCCATACGTCCGGCTCGTCCGGCGCGCTGCCCATGTGCGCGCCGTCGACCCAGAGCGCGAACTGGTCGTCGGCGGTGACGATGGCGGCGCGCGCCGCGGGCTTGCCCGCGCTGCTGGTGAAGGTGCGGCGGAACGCGAGCGCGCCTGGAGACAGCGGAGACGGTAAGACGGTAGGATTGCTGCGAAATGGCGCGGGAAGCCGAGGCGAGGAGTCATGAGAAGCACGGGGTGACATCGATGCCCAGCGGTGCTACCTTGTTCTCTACGCGGAGAGTGGAGAGCGTCACTGTGAGATGTTAGAAGTATTCAAGTGTAACGGGATAGCGACACACATTGGGCATGTACTCCGGTGCAGAATAATAAACTTGCTGCCCTGACGAGAGCGGAAAGTGCGCGCATGGTGAACGATACAGGTATAGTGCGAAGTTGGAAGCAAGAACGCACTCGCAGCATGCGTGCGGGCCATCACCAGACGCAACATGTGATACAGGGGTTACGAACACATTAGGATTCATCAGGGCAGCAGTGGATCAGGGCAGCAGTGGTTTGTGGAGCAAGGGCTTGTAGCTGAACAAGCAGATCCCTGTGCAAAGTCGCGTTCAGAACAAAAGGCAAAGAATTACGTCAAACCTTAACCCCGAGATGCCATCAGTGGCGGTGTCCTGCTCCTGGCGCGTGTACCGGCTACTCTTAGACTCCTGAGTTTCATGGCCACATTATTGTCTCTCCTGATAAGTACGCGTTTGACGCGCCTCCATTGCGCGCGCACGCGTCTTCCGTTCGACACGCGACTTATGCCGCGACCAGCCCCAACGCGACGTTTCTTCCTGTGTCGGAACCATGTTGCAAAGAGCACCAGTGCCTTGGATAGGATGACCTGCTGCACTCGGCTACCAACGATAGAAGCACGATTATCAAAAAGAGCCACACGGACTGACCATGGCTCGGGCGCGATTCGGACGAGCTCCTGCCTGCATTATCACACATTATGACACACACATACTGGCAGGTACGGACCTTCCACTATCGTGCCTTCCCATCTCATCTGAGAACTTGCTTGGAATAACATTTAAATGTGCACGACGGAAGCAAAAAAGGCCTCCAATGTTATGGCCCGAGCTCGATTCGAACGAGCAGGTCCTGCATAGATTGCTATATAATCAGCTATTGAAAGCAGGTGCGGACCATCCGCTACCGGGCCTTCCTCTGCTATCTAAGAACCTGATCAGGATGGCATTTAAATCATAGATTCACTCACCGGGGAATCTAAAAGATAGAACGACAAATGTTATGGCCCGAGCTCAATTCGAACATGCACACCATGTACACTCAAGTATTGAAAGCAGGCGTGGACCATCCGCTACCGGGTCTGCCTCTGCTATCTGAGAACCTGATCAGGATGGTATTCGAACCATAGACTCACTCACCGTGGAATCAGAAATACAGCATTGGAAATGTTTTATGGCCCGGGCTCGATTCGAACGAGCAGGTCCTGCATAGATTACTTAGGATCAGATATTGAAAGCAGGTGCGGGCCATCCACTACCAGGCCTTCCTCTAATATCTGAGAGCCTGACTAGGATGGCATTTAAATCACAAGCTCATCCACTGCGGAATCAAAAAGACGGAATCAGAAATGTCGGAGGGCGCGGGCTCGATTCGAACGAGCGACTTCTGCATGTATCTGTAGATGAAGGCCTATTGAAAGCAGGCATGGACCATCCACCACTGGGCCTTCTTCTCCTGCTTGAGAGATTGATTAGGTTTGCATTTAAAGTGGGACTTTGTTCAAAAACAAAAAAAAATCGTCCGCATTTATGACCCGGGCTCGATTCGAACGAGCGAGTCCTGCATACACATACAATCCAATCAGATATTGAAAGCGGGTGCGAACCATCCGCTACCGGGCCTTCCCATCTCCTCTTAGAATTTGTTTAGGATAGCATTTAAAGTGGGACTTCGCCATGGAATCAAAAAATCCTCCCCCGAGATCATGGCCCGGGCTCGATTCGAACGAGCGACTTCTGCATGCACACCATGCACACTCCAGTATTGAAAGCAGGTGCGGACCATCCGCTACCGGGTCTTCATCTGCTACCTGAGAACCTGACCAGGATGGCATTTAAATCACAAATTCATTCACCGAGGAATAAATAATACAGCATCTGAAATGTTTTATGGACTGGGCTCGATTCGGACGAAAAACGCCTGCATGCATATTGGGAACGATCAAGTATTGAAAGCAGGTACGGACCATCCGCTACCGGGCCTTCCTCTGCTATCTGAGCACCTGACCAGGAATGCATTTAAACCATAGACTCACTCGCCGTGGAATCAAAAAATAGAGCATCGTACCGATATCATGGCCTGGTCTCGATTCGAACGAGCGACTCCTACATGCACACCATGCACAATCAGGTATTGAACGCAGGTGCGGATCATCCGCTACCAGGCCTTCATCTAATATCCCAGAACCTGGCCAGGATGATATTTAAAACACAAATTCATCCGCGGTGGAATCAAAAAGACAGAAGCTGAAATCACTCACGACCCGGGCTCGATTCGAACGAGCAACTCCTGCATGCACACCACACACACTCAATTATTGAAAGCAGGTGCGAACCATCCGCTACCGGGCCTTCATCTGCTTCTTGAGGGATTGATCAGGATGGTATTCAAATCATAAATTCACTCACCACGGAATCAAAAAAGAGAGAATCAGAAATGTCATGGCCCGGGCTCGATTCGAACGAGCGGATCCTGCCTGCATGCAGTCCAATCAAACATTGAAAGCGGGCGCGGACCATCCGCTACCAGGCCTTAATCTGCTATCTGAGAACCTGACTAGGATGGCATGTAAATCACAAATTCATCCACAGTGGAATCAAAAATACAGCATTGGAAATGTATTATGGCCCGGACTCGATTCGAACGAACAGGTCCCGCATAGGTCACTGACATCGCATATTGAAAGCAGGTGCAGACCATCTGCTACCAGGCCTGCCTCTGCTATCTGAGAACCTGATCAGGATGGCATTTAAATCATAGACTCACTCACCGTGGAATACCAAAAGACAGCGTCTGAATGGTTCATGGCCTGGTCTCGATTCGAACATGGCTCTTATCTCATCATTAAAAGCAGGTGCGGACCATCCGCTACCGGCCCTTCCTCTGCTATCTGAGAACTTGGCTAGGATTGTATTTAAATCATAGACTCACTCGCCGTGGAATCAAAAAATCTTCCGCCCATTTTATGGCCCGAGCTCGATTCGAACGAGCATAGACCACTTACAGTCGAATGTTGAAAGCAGGTGCGAACCATCCGCTACCGGGCTTTCATCTGCTACCTGAGAACCAGACCAGGATGGCATTTAGATCACAAACTCATCCACAGCGGAATCAAAAAGACAGAATCAGAAACTCTTATGGCCCGGGCTCGATTCGAACGAGCGAGTCCTGCATAGATGAAGTAACAATTACTCATTTGCAGCAGGTGCGGACCATCCACCACCGGGCCTTCCTCTGCTACCTGAGAACCTGACCAGGATGGCATTTAAATCGCGAATTCATCCACAGTGGAATCAAAAGATAGAACTGTTATGACCCAGGCTCGATTCGAACGAGCGACTCCTGCATGCACGCAGTCCAATCAGGTATTGAAAGGCAGGTGCAGACCATCCACTACCGGGCCTTCCTCTGCTATCTGCGAACTTGGTCAGGATGGGATTTGAATCACAAACTCATCCACCACGAAATCAAAAAGATAGAACCAGAAATGTTATGGCCCGGGCTCGATTCGAACGAGCAGGTCCTGCATAGATCGCTTTTCATCGGATATTGACAGCAGGTACGAACCATCCGCTACCGGGCCTTCATATGCTACCTGAGAACCTGATCAGGATGGCATTGAAATCATAGACTCACTCACCATGGAATCAAAAATGTAACAGTGGAAACGTGATATGGCCCGGACTCGATTCGAACGAGCGACTCCTGCATGTATCTGTAGCTGAAGGTCAATTGAAAGTAGGTGCGGACCATCCGCTACCGGGCCTTCCTCTGCTACCTGAGAACTTGATCAGGATGACATCTAAATCATAGACTCACGGAATCAAAAATACAACATTGGAAATGTTTTATGGCCCGGGCTCGATTCGAACGAGCGAGTCCTGCATAGATAACGTAACAACTGCTCATTTACAGCAGGTACGGACCATCCGCTGCCGGGTCTGCCTCTGCTACCTGAGAACCTGACCAGAATGGCATTTAAATCATAGACTCATTTACCGTGGAATCAAAAAGACATTCGACCCATTTTATGGCCCGGGCTCGATTCGAACGAGCGAGTCCTGCATATGTCACTTATGATCAGATATTGAAAGCAGGTGCGAACCAGCCGCTACCGGGCCTTCCTCTGCTACCTGAGAACCTGACCAGGATGGTATTTAAATCATAGACTCATTCACTGTGGAATAAAAAAGACAGCATTGGAAATGTATTGTGGCCCAGGCTCGATTCGAACGAGCAGATCCTGCATGCACACCATGCACACTCCAGTATTGAAAGCAGGTGCGAACCATCCGCCACTGGGCCTTCCTCTGCTACCTGAGAACCTGATCAGGATGGCATTTAAATCATAGACTCCCTTACCGCGGAATCAAAAAATACAGCATTGGAAACGTATTATGGCCCGGGCTCGATTCGAACGAACGACTCCTGCATGTATCTGTAGCTGAAGGTCAATTGAAAGTAGGTGCGGACCATCCGCTACCGGGCCTTCCTCTGCTATCACAGAACCTGACGAGGATGGTATTTAAGCCATAGACTCATTCACCGTGGAATCAAAAATACAACATTGGATATGTTTTATGGCCCGGGCTCGATTCGAATGAGCAGGTCCTGCATAGATTACTTCGGATCAGATATTGAAAGCAGGTGCAGACCATCCACTACCGGGCCTTCCTCTGCTATCTGAGAACCTGATCAGGATGGCATCTAAATCATAATCTCCTACGACAGAAGCAGACCATTGGCCACCGGGCCTTCCTATCTCATCTGCGAACTTGCTCAGGTTAGAATGGCTCCAGCAGTCCGCTTTGACTGCTTATTTAACCCCAAATGTAGACCATCCACCACCGGGCCTTGCACTGCATTTGAATCAGATCTTTATAGTCTCCGTGGACTGGGAATCAAAAATATAGAATCGAACTCTTATGGCCCAGGCTCGAATAGAACGAGCGGGTCCTGCATGCACGCAGTCTAACTTTGTATTGAAAGCAAGTGCGGACCATCTGCTACCGGGCCTTCCTCTGCTTCTTGACCATTCCATATGAGAAGTGGCTTGGAATAACATTTAAATGTGGGTTTCACCACGACGAAAGCAACAAAGGCATCCAATGTTATGGCCCGGGCTCGATTCAAATGAGCGGGTCTTACGACGTATATTCAACATTAATCACGTATTGAAATTCCCATCTCATCTGAGAACTTGATTTACAGTAATCGGGATTTCACCGGCACCAACTGGGGAATCAAAAATAAGAGGGAACTTCAACGGCCAGGCTCGATTAGAACGAGCGCCTCCTGCACACATCCTTCCAGCCGTAAATAATATTGAAAGCAAGCGCGGACCATCTGCCACCGGTCGTTTCCAGTCTGTATTCCAACTTTGTTGCGATCGCTATCTAAAGCCTTTGTTCGTTACCACCAGTCAATCTGGCACTGCAGGGACACCGTAAGGCGCAGCTACTACCAAGGCTGTGAATGGAAGGCAACTCAGCGGAGTGAGTGAATATGCATCAGGGTGGAGTGTTGTTGGATTTTATCCCGGGTGGACGACCATACACTTATTCTTTAAAAGGCGGATAGAAAAAAAAGCGAACCAACTCGCCATGGCCGGGCTCGAAGCGAACGAGCGTTTCCTGCGTGATATGGGATGCGTATTATATCATGGAATGCAGGAGCAGATCATCCGCTACCGGGCCTCTCTCTTCTACCCATGGTCGTCAATAAACTAGAGTCCAAGTTCGGAACTTACCCATCATTCGCCGTCCTTGTAAAGCCAGCACTTGATTAATATTCTGAGTGGCCCATATCTTCAAGGTCATGTACTCGCCAGAAGTAACGGATGAGTTTCAACATTGCGTGACACCACTAGAATGGAAAAGACCACGGAGTGAGAAGCACCATTATCCAAGACAATAGGTGCAAAGTCGCGAGATTGCGATGCAGTCTGCAGATGATGCCATGATGGTTCGGAACAAAAGGCAAAGACTTACGTCAAACCCTAACCCTGACATGACATCAGTGGCGGTGTCCTCCTCTTTTCCTTCACTTCTCGTCATCTGCTGCATCGGCACGTTTGGGACGTGTGTATCCGGGAGGAACGTGTACTTTTAGACTCCTGAGCTTCATGACCACCTTATGTTCTCTTCTGATGCGCGTTTGACGCGTCTTTCGTTCCACACGTGACTTATGACAGCCCCAACGCGAGATTTCTTCCTGTGTCGGAACCATGACAAGGCGCTCACGCGGAGCTCATAACCAGACCCGAGTCCTCCTACGGTGCTCTGTAGGCTCGGGGGACGGAACATTGGCATCGTTCGGCTTCTGTCTCATGCGCGTCCTACGTTAGAGTCGGTGGGGTCGCGTCACCGCGGCCAGAACCCTTCCATTGTTCATGGGAATGAGCTATGCCCCTCCGTATTTGTATTTTTTCCTTGCGCCGGGAACTTGACGTGGATAGTTTTATGAGCAGTTATTCAAATTTCACTCACCAGCGGGAAATACCACAGGGTTACTAAGTAGAAGGAGAGCGCTTTGTCTCAGAGAGGATGACCAGCTGTGCTCGGCTGCGAACAAGACGAGCAGTATTATCAACGAGAGCCACACTGGCTTGCCATAGCTTGGGCTCGATTCGGATGAGCTCCTGCCTACATTGTCACACATTGCGCCATCCAGGCTATCAGGTGCGGACCGTCCGCTAATCTCATATGAGAACTTGCTTAGGTTACAGAATAGCATTCACATCTGGGTTCACCAACTTGAAATATAAAAGACAGAATCAGAAATGACTGATGGCCCGAGCTCGATTCGAACGAGCGACTTCTACATGTATCTGTAGATGAAGGTCTATCGAAAGCAGGCGTGGACCATCCACCACCGGGCCTTCTTCTCCGGCTTGAGGGATTGATTAGGTTTGCTTTTAAAGTGGGATTTTGTTCGCCATGGAATCAAAAAACCTTCCCCCGATATCATGGCCCGGGCTCGATTCGAACGAGCAGGTCCTGCATGCGCGCATTCCAGCCTTGTATTGAAAGCAGGCGCGGACCATCCGCTACCGGGCCTTCCTCTGCTATCTGAGAACCTGACCAGGATGATTTAAATCATAGACTCGCTCACCACGGAATCAAAAAGATAGAACCCATGGCAAGGCGCGGCTACTACCAAGGCTATGAATCCAAGGCAGCTCAGCGGAGTGAGTGAATATACATCAGGGTGGAGTGTCGTTTAATTTTATCCCGGGTGGAAGACTACATTTTTTAAGGCGGGTAGAAATCACGAACATCCAGGTGTTGCGGCGACACAGTAAAAAAAAAAACGTTCCAAATAGCCATGGCCCGGGCTCGAATCGAACGAGTGTTTCCTGCGTGATATGGGATGCCTACTATATTGTGGAATGCAGGAGCGGACCATCCGCTACCGGGCCTCTCTCTTCTACCCATGATCGTCAATAAACCAGAGTCCAAGTTCGGAACTTACCATATTCGCCACCACCAGTCTTGGACGAAAGTAGTACTTGTAATTTCCTGTTGACCCAATCAATTATCAGACAAATTATTATTAACCGTCATTAACATTATCCGATCTACAAACATGCAGGCTCTACGCGCCCATTGCCATCTCGATATTCTTCCCCTTGATACTCCGCCACTCAATGATCAGTGCCCCGGCGAGCGAGATGCACGCCATCGCAATGGCGACGTAGAATGCGGCTACCAACGCCTGAGTGCATACGAATCAGTTTCGAACTATACCGTAATTAGGAGACAAGGGCTGGCTATACCTCGTTGTACGCGAACAGCACGCCGGCGAGGAATTGCTGGGGCACGGCATCCTTGAGGGAGGTCGCACCGGCGGAGAGTACAAGCGAAGGGGAGACACCCGGCACGTTGGCGATCAGCCCCGACACGAGCTTATTCGTGAACACATTCTGGGCGATGGAGATGAAGAGTGCGCCACCTGAGTTAGAGAGTGATCATTTGTCAGCGTGTCTTAATTTATTGCGCATAATGAACGGCACGGACCGAGGGTCTGCGAGAACATGATGATCGAGGTCCCGACAGGAATATCCTTCAGCTCGAGCACCGTCTGCGCAGCGAGAATGGGCTGCTGCATCCCGAGTCCGACGCCGAGCCCACACACGATCTCGAACGGGATCCACTTCGTGTGGCCTGAGTTGACCTTGAGGGTCGAGATAAGGCCCGTACCGACTGCTGTGAGAACAGAGGACACAATCATAAACGGCGCGTAGTATCCAATCTTCGTAATGAGGCCGCCTGCGAAGATGGAAGCGACGACGAGAGACAGAATCATGGGTAAGTTGTTGATCCCCGAGTGCACTGCAGAAACGCCGCGGATACTTTGGAACCAGATGGGTAGCTGTAAATGATTTGCGATATCAGACCAGGATACGAGAGAACCACGAGGGATTTACGCACGTAGAAGGCCAAGATGAAGAACGAAGACCCGATGCAGAACGCATATAGCGCACCGCTCCAGATGCTCCGCTGCTTCAAAAGCCGGGGTGGAATGGTCGCGCGCTCCTGCTTCCAGATCTGGACGCCAATAAAGATGCTGATGAGCACCGCAAAGACAACGAAGAGAGCGATTATGCGGGCCGACTTCCAGGGGAACTTGGAACCCCCCCATTGCAGCGCGAGGAGCAGACTGACAATTCCGGGGATGAAGACCAGCGTGCCCAATGGATCGAACAACGCGACCCGCTGCATAAAGGTCGCGGACGAGGGCTTCACTACCCCGGAAGCTGGCATTTTGAAGAAGAAAATAAGGACTGCGAGTGTAATCCCACCGACTGGGAGGTTGATGTAGAAACACCTAGGTATGGCACGTCAAAAGGGAGACCCAACGAGGGAATCAATGAAGCGCACCACCGCCACGAGATTTTGTCGGTAAATGCACCACCCATAAGCGGCCCTGCGACGCTCGAGATTCCGTACATGCCTCCAATCATACCGGCGTATATGGGCCTCTTGGCGAGCGGGACAGTGTTCGCGAGGATGATGAGGGCTCCAGAGAAGATGCCAGCGCTGCCGAGGCCCGCGATCGCACGCCCTACTATGAGAGCGTTGGATGTGGGCGCGGCACCACAAATGAGTGACCCGATCTCGAAAATGGAGACGGCGGTGACGTAGACCCATTTAATCGGGAGGAATGTGTAGAACTTGCCGAAGAGGAGCTGCGTGGCCGCAGTCGTCTGAATACGAGGTGAGCGACCAACCAATAACTCAACACAAAGAGTAACCGTACGAGGAGATATCTGATTCAACGAGTTAAGTTTGGATTATGAAAGCATACGAGTAATCACGCACGCAGAACCGTACCACCCCACATCGTCGAGGGACTTGAACTCGTCCGTTATCTTGGGTATCGCCGTTGCTGCAAAAGCAGTTGGGGAAGTCAGCAGTGATAAGTCTAATGTCGCACAGGAAATTAACCTATTATCGTATTATCCAGGGAGACGACGAAGACTGAGAGACAGAGTGCAAGAGTCAGTAGGGCAAGCCTGATTCCATGAGGGAAGTCGTCCTCCGATTCCCCGGCTGCGACAAGCTCGCGGCTCTGAGCAGTGGCTGCGGGGTATTCAGCCTTCTCCCGATTCGTGTGGGTTTGAGATTCGTTGAGGGTATCGACGTGGCTCCCAGCGGTGGACATGGCGGCGACACAAACCCAGCCTTTCTCCCAGCGCATGTCATATATTAGAGAATCTGACGTAGCGTGGGTGACGTACCGGGCCCGTGGCGTTTTGAATTGGCCGATGTAATCACCTCGCACCTTTCAGCCAGTCTCACGACGAAGCCACAAACCAATCCTCCGAATAAATTCCGGAGCCGGTGCCTCTGAAAATTCCTACGACAAGTTAGCAAGATTGGCATTTGTAGTAAGCTCGAAAGAGAGTGGCAAGTTCTAGACGTAGTTAGAATCACAGTATACGGAGCCGATATACGGCAGCCTGCAGGTGAGTTTGACCGCGCTCCGTTCGGAACTGCTCTCTATTTCTATGAAAGGGACCAATGTGACCTGCGCGATCGGAAAAGAGAACCCAGGTGCGAGCTTCTATCCATAAGCAGCAAGACGACCTTGGGAAGTCGCGGGTCAAGCCGGGAGTCTATCAAGCAGGCCAGAGCGTCGTCCTGGGAATTGTCGAGTATCGAGTGAGCATCTTGTGGTGCGTCCCCGTCATCCCTTACCAGGAGATTGAAGGAGGCGCTGCCCAGAATTGTCCACGTCGTCGCTCCACGAAGGTTTGGTCACTGGTGGAAGCTGAGTCAAGCCGGAGTTTCAAATTGCGGTCACGTGGATGATCGTGCGCGTTCCAACAGAAGTTGCTTCCACCCACGTATGCAACTACGTATCAAATGTGAGGGTAGCCTTTGTTATACACGTAGTACTTCATACCGTCAATGAGCCGTCACGGAGAAAAAACCCCATTTGAAAATTGAACTTAGTGCAAAGGTCGTGGTGTATGTGGATTAGTTCACTTCAAGTCACTTAGGACTTTTGACGTGAAACAGTCGTTGAGTCCTGTCACTGATACGTTTTTCACTCAGTAAATCGCAAACCTCGCCGAGACTCCGACGGGAGGTCTTGTATTCCTCGGTTTCTACCGCGTCCGATTATTTCTGATGTAATTTTGAATTGCCGCCGTGATCACGAATAATCAACGGAACTATAGTCCAGTACTCGTCGAAATTCAAACCGATCCAGACTTCTTGCCCCCTTGATTTACAAAGGGCGTGGTTAATCGTATTTTCTCGTGTCGGGTGCTCAAGACTTGAACAGGATATGCGCATCGGAGCACATAGCATTAAATGGAAGAAATGTCATTTCCAGATTGAATTTACACCAAGACTGAATGAAGAACGACGACAACCCTGGAAAGTATACAAATAGACACAATTGGCGGATCGTAGCATACTTAGGTAAAATTCTGGGCATAGAGATCTGTTCATCTGTGCAAGAATGGGTTCGTCCCGTTGGGACACAAAGACGCTGACAATTCACAGGGATCCCGGCAATGGTCCGCGATAGAAAGCAAACCCGGGCAACAGCCAAGCTCGAAACACTCTTGGGTGCCGCAAATTTCGTTAGCTCCGAGATCTCCGACACAAGGAGGCACGGGAGTCAGTTTGCCATTGTTGCAGCTGGTCGCTCACTCGTCAATTCGGGGGTGGGGTCGCTGGGTGTTGCGCCCTTACCTGTACTGGAAAATCGAATAGCACGTGTCACCACACCTCTGGGTTGCATCTCTCCCGTTAATTGGACAGAGGAAGTCTTCGTCGAAGCAGCTGTAGTCCGTCAGTGTGGAATTCATTCAACAAATAACATGCCTACGTATACTGGGCCGTGGAGTAGCAGTCCTCCCCGCAGGCCTGATACGAAACGCCATTGACGATCGGACAAAGCAAACTATTGTTGAAGCAGGTATACTATCCGCAAATTCAGTTTGACGTCCGGGGAAAATTCGTGAGGAGAACATACCTGAGACGGGTCGTAGTTTGCAGTGCCACAGCTCTCAAGAGCAACGACGCCGGCAACGAACGCGGTGAGGACGATCGAGATGAGTCGGGCCATCGAGGAATATCGTGGTCCAGGGGAATGCGGCGTCAAAGACAGAGACGTCGATGAACGCTGAGGGTCGCACATAATTGCACCCAGTTTATATAGACGACGGACAGGGTCGTGGGAGGGTAAATTTAAAATGCCTCTTTCAACAGCTTTCAACGCCGTACTGAATGATGAATGCTCATACACCTGCCAGTATTGATAGGGTAGTCATTATTTTGAAGGAATGGTGCCTGAAGTCGGATAAGTCCAGTTGGATATGGCGGACTTACGCGACGTCCGCCGCCCCACAACCCTAGCTCCCGCGACCACCTGTGCCAATTCAGTTTGAGCTTGATACTTATCGCCGACTCAATCGAGGTACAAAATCCTTCTGGGCATCTCTAGACACGGCTGGGAGAGCTCTACGATGAAGGTCCACCGGAGACCACATTTTCCATACCTATACATCATAATGTCTAAGTATGTGTCAACGGCTGCC